TATTAATGTATTGAATAACATTAATTATTAAAATAACAATAGTTTATACCAATTTCATAATTATATTTACTAAGGCTATTGATTTTATATAGTTTTTCTTGACCATATTTCAAAAACTTCCTAGTCCTACTTAAGCGATTTTTTTTCTTATATTTTGCTTTGCTTTTTGAGATCAGTTTTATTTTTTAACTTTTGATCCATTGAAATGATCTTACAGGTTTTCCTAGAAAATTATAGGTGTTATAGTAGCAGTTGATTTTCTAATATTTAAAGCAAAAATTCAGACATAATTAATAAAATGAAAACAGTTTAAGTGTATAGTTCGTTGCATTTTGACAAAATGAATATATTTTTATACCTACTACACATTAAGCCTTTGTATTCAATCCCCATTCTGTCATCTCCAGCACCAGCAAACCACAGATTTACTCTTAAATATTGTATGAATGGAATCACACTATATGTACTGTCTTGTGAATGTCTTCTAACTGTCCACCTATTGCTAATGAGATTCATCTATGCAGTTGCAGCATTGGTAGTTCATTCTTTTTAATATTTAACGTCATATTTAAACATCACGTTAGTTTTCTATTGCTATGTAATTAATTACACAACCCTAGCAGCTCATAGATCAGAAGTCCAGCACAGTGTGGTTGGGCTCTCTGTTCAGGCTGAAGCCTTATTCCGCAATCTGCTTATTAAGTCTTCAATTTTAGGGTTATTTTCTGTCTTTGGGTATTTTGAGTAAAGCTGCTATGCCGTATCTTATTCAAGTCCTTTTGTGAAATTACATGGCTGTAACACAGACATTTGTTAATCCTTACAAGAAGTGGTTTAATCTTTCAAAAGTAATTGTACCACTTTATACTCCCACAAGCAATGTATGAAGGTTCCAGTTGCCCTACTTCCTAGCCAACACTTGGGATTGATAGTTGTCTTAATTTTAGGCATTCAAATGGGCATAGAATGGTAATCCAGGTTGCTCTGTAAGTACACTAGGGGAGCATCCAATTTAGACTTGATGAGGTCAAGTAAAAATTCTTAGAGAAAAGAAAATGTAGCAAGAACTCTCAAACTGAAAGAAAACAATCTATTACTGTGTGATGCTTAAGTAGCCATAGTGAATAGCTCCTTAAAAATTTTTGTTAAAGTTGTTTTACTACTATTTTGGTTATGAGTTTGCAGATTGGGTCTTTTGATTGTGTCACTGTGTTTTTTAGTGTGTCTATGTATCTTTATGTGAGTATTTAGACTTATGATAACCTCAAAAATGTATCTGATAGCTTTCAATATTTTTCCAGAAACATTCCTTCTTTAATATTACAAGCTTCTGGAACTTTACCTTTTGACTAAAGGTGAATATTAATATTATTTTAATAATAAAATATTGTAAAATGACATAATAAATACATTATATATAATACATAATAAACAGTATATATTATAAAATAAGCATAATATATAATAAACATATATATTATGTATAATATTTAATAAATATATCATATAATAAATTACAATATATTATATATGATATAATACTCATAATAAATATTTATAACAAATAAATATAAGTAAAATGCCATTTTATTATTTAAACATCTTAGCTTAAATATTATATTTAAATACTAACATTTCAATATAAGATTTAATATTATTTAAAAATAACAATTGAAGCTTATAAAATTAGGCAGAATAACAATTCTAGTAGTAGAAGGGCTTCAGTTTTCATTGATTTATGAGATAAAATCTAGAATCCTTCTATATAAAATGTGGATGGAATCCATCATCCTAAGACGTAAGCTCAAGTAAACTGTCAGTCACCAGTATAAAAAAATGCCACTATGTATTGTGTTGTAGAATCTATGGCATACTTTATAATAGCTTCAAACCTGTATTCATTTCAGGTTTTTATACTACAACCCCAAGCCTCTTAAGGGAAAATTTTGTGACCCCATTACTTTCTACTCCCAAAGGATATTTGCTAAAATGATGATGATGATGATCTGAACTTAATGGCTTTAGACTGACTTAATCTAAAAGTATTTCAAAGGATTATTTTACAAATTTGGTCAGGGCAAATTTTCATTTTGCTTCCCAGAAGTCTTCAGCAATTCAGAATCTAGGATAGACTGTTGCCCAGATATGTTGTAGTCGAGGCTGATGTAAATCTTTGTAACATCTGATTATATGCAATTAAGTATAAGCTTCCCCAGATCCTAAAAGATCATTTTAGTAAACACTGTAACTTTGGTGTCAACAGATCTACTTATGCAATTGAAGAGAGCTAATTTTACTTTCATATTCTCTCTCCTCAGTTGGGTAAATAATCAAATTTGTGGTATAGGGAATGAAAAGACTACTTTCAATCTAGTCTAAAGGAACTCTGCTCTAAAACTTAAAAAAGCAGCATACAATACATTAAGGGTTAATTATCATTCACTCAATAAAGTTGATGTATAATTAGCAATCTACCTGAAATTTCCCCTAGGCGTATTCTATGTGTTGCTGTTAGCAATATAAAAATGTTACAATAAAAGATACAAAAAAAAAATGTTCTTCCTTTTTTTAGGCATCTTTCCCTGGAGAAATAGTCCAATGAGAAGTAATCTCTGTAGCCCAGATTTCCTAATGATGAAGCTTCAGAAGAGTCCTTATCAATCCTGGTATCAAACTTTTCTCTTCAAGTTAGTTTCATTTAACAGAAGTTTTAAACTTGAAAGTTCAGAAGACTATTAAAATTGGTTTTAGCTATCTAAGATACACTTACACACACACACACACACACACACACACACACACATACAGTAGAGATAAACGTTAGACAATCCATCTCAATGTTACTAGAAAATTTGATTAGGATCTTGTGAAATAAATAGTAAACTTACTAAAAATGTCAAATTATCCCAGAAGTTACTTTTTAAACATTTGATCGAAAACTCTACCCAGCCAATTTTTGCTTCTTTTAGAAATACTCTACTGAAAAGCAAAAGCAGAAATGGGGCTGATACCTTCATTATAGAGAATTGCAAATAAGATTATATCCCAGAAGGCTTAGTGTGGCTTTTTAGGACTTTCACTATTAGGCAGTAATCTACCATTTACCTGTTTCCCAGATTCACCTTGTTATATCTTATAACTAAAAATATAAAATCCAGCAATGTATTGTGCTCCAAAAATTCATTTCTCAACTTCTTTGATTTTTTTCTAGAATCTAAACTTATGATAAATTGTGAATTAACTATGATAGCAGTGTGTGCAAACAGTAAGTGAAATCAGATGTATTAATTCTAAGAGAAAAGAGGTGTCAGGATGTTTTCACAGAAGAAAGGCACTAAATCTGGTATGTGAAAAAGCAGTAGATTTTTCCTGCCAGGAGCAATAAAAATTAGAGTTGAAAATAATTTCATGAAGCAAAATATTCAAAGAAAATGAAGAATGAATAAAGACAATTGAATTGGTAATTCATAAGGCAAGCTTCAGTAACTGGTAGAATAGAAGCTGAATTTTAAGTGTAAAATGAGCAAATTATACTGAATGAAAAAAATTACTTAAAAATTATCAAGAAGTAACTAGACCTAGGGAAGACAGTTTTCATTTTAAGGCATAATAATGTTTGCAGATTGAAGGAAAAGGCACAGCAGAGGATAAGAGACCTTATCAGCAAGGGATTAAAATAGTGGAGCATTCTTGTGGCAATGGCATGAAATAAGGAGACAGAATTGGAAAGAAATGATATTTGTTCCTCCTAGATAGAAAGAAAAATGTAGAAAAAGGTAAAGAAAGAAAATTGGGAGATAAAGAATAATCACAGGTGTAGTCCTTAACATCTTAAATCAAAATTACTGTTTACGTGTTTCTCCTTGCAGAAAGGAAATTTGTAATAATTGATCTTTGGCTCAATATCCTTCTATCTCCAGCACCTGGCTTATGGAAGGTCTCTCAATACGTAATTACAAAATGGATCTATGGAGGTACAATAATTCTTGTTATATGATTCACTGTTCTTGAAGTTGGAGTATATTGGCTCATCTGGGAATAGGGAAATTGGCAGTTAGTTGAGAGACCATTGGAACACCTGTTGAAAGAAACGTGCTAATGATTAAAGGCATGGGGAAAAAGCAAGTGAGGAATGAACAGAATACCATTAACTTGAAGTGGATGCAGGCAGCACATTTTTGAAAATGTTTTAAATCAACAACTTCTCCTTGGAGAGCAGATGCGATTACAGCAGACAGCAGAGATAATAAATACATGTCAGTACAGTCACAGAAGTGGCTGGAGTGTCAGGGCCTCGATTACTATGGGCAGCAGGAGACATGGATGCCTCTGGCATCTTATCTGGCAATAAAGGAAAATGAAAGCAGAATTAGGCTTCAAGTTAGATAATAATATAATAATGGAGGTTGGAATTAAGACAGGAAAATAAACAGGCTTGCTAGGGTTATGGAAGTGGAAGAGATGAAGCAAGTTTAAAAGAACTACTCTTCTTGTAATTCCTCATTTTCAAGGAGGGGAAATGTCAGCATTTGAAATTGTAGAAAATTAGAAAATAAATGTGATGATTTTGATCAGGATTATATTTATGCTGGTAAGTAACAAATAAAATGAGAAGACCTTGGCTTCACAGGAGTTGAGGGACTCTGATCCAGAGTGCTAATAGGATCATGTATTTAAATGATGGAGTTCATAACAGGATTGGAGTGGAGAAAAATTATGAAGCAAGTTTTCAGAAAAATGAGAATATTAGGAGGTTATATGTTGATGGCTTTAGAGATAGAAAGAATATATGATACAATAAACATTATTAAAAAGTGGACAGTGGAAGAAAAGTTGCCTGAAATTAACAGCTGTGAGTAAGTAATCTTTAACACCTGGTGGAAAAAGGGCCTTTTCCTTACCTAGGAGGAAAAAGGGCCTCCATCAAAATGGTAGTGAGAATTTTATGTAACAGAGACAACACACCTTCTTTTCTCTTTTCTTTTTTTTTTCTTTTTCTTAGCCCTGCCTAAGTAGAACATTAAAAAAATTGGCTATAAACTCATAATTGTTCCTCTCCACAGAAATCTTTAGCAAAAGACGAAAGATTTATTTATTATGAAGAGAAACCAGAGCATGACAACACACTTTTTGTCGCAGATGAGCAAAATATTCTCACACAAAATGTGGTCAAGAAAGAAGTATTAGAACTTGTTTTTTCTAACTGAATACATAATATTAATACACATTCTCTGTAAATATTCATGTTGATCATAGGAGAGGTAATCAAAATATATAATATTGACAACTGAATTGAAATTAATATATTTTTCTAAAAAAATCACATTATATGTAATGAACCAATATTGGCTAGGTGAAAATTATCTAGGTTTTACGACTATACTTCCTCTCAAACATTTATCAAAATGACAGGTGCATTTTTGGCTGCTACATTTACCAAATGAAAACAAGAATACTGACATCACACACAAACATGAAAGCATATGTTGAAATCTTCATTCCAGATACCTACAAAAGAGAAAAGATAACATGATGTTCATTCCCTGTTTCAAGTTGCTTCTGAGATTCCTTGAGCTGAAGACAAATATTCTATTAAAAAGAGTCCTTAAAAGGGGCATAAGAAACCCAATCTTTTCATAAGGAGCGTGGTTATATTTGATAACTATTATTTTCAAAATGAATTATTTTTACTTCTAAATTAGTACTGATTGCATCTTAAGGTTTTTGTTTCTTTGATACCAGGATGTACAGTTATTTCAGAAAGAATGATTAGTTTTAGTGTCTGTAAATCTTTGCTGTCAATGAATTAAAGTATTTTTGAAAAATGAATATATATTCCCTGAAAGTGATCTAGACTTTATAGAAAATTACCTATTTGTGTAAATATAGGAAAACAACTCTAACATTAAAATATGTGCATCAATTGGATCAAGACTATGAGATGAGGTTTAAACATTAAAAAAGTATTTATAACATTTGAAGAACAAAATTAACAAGAAAAAGTAAAACCAAGATATAAAAAAATAAAGATAATATTCCTCATCAGAAAATAAGAAAAAAATACAAGCAACTGTGGTAATACCAACGTGATTTTAAATATATATATATATATATATATATATATATATATTATATATATATATATATATTTGTTCATTGGTTGTCTTGTTCAATTCAGTCAAATGTAATCCAACAAGATAAGGCTCCACATAGAGCTTTTTAAGTTATCACGTGTTATGTGTGCTGCTTTAATTGTCCATAGTTTCTTGTTTTTCTACTGGAATTCTAACAAACTAAATGCTATATGGTGTTTTTTTCCTAGCATTATTTCTGGAAAATTAGAACAGGGACTATAATTGTCCATGGTTTCTGGTTTTTCTACTAGAATTCTAGCAAACTAAATGTTGGATGGTGTTTATTTCTAGCATTATTTCTGGAAAATTAGAACAGTGACTAATAAAATTACTCTTTTACTTTTCATAGATTTGACTGAATTTGAAAGTCAAATATGGACTAATTTTGTCCAGATGCTGAGATTGCTGTTTGGAATATTTTTACAATATCTTCTTGAAAATTCTTGTTCAATAAGTCTAACATTTGTATCATCTTAGTGTTATAGTCTGTTGATTGCCATTTCTTATTTGGTTTGAGATTCTCCCAGCTCTTGGTATGTCAAGTGACTTTGGACTATAATTTGGACACCACATGTATTATGATATGACTAAAGTTATTACTTAGATCTTTTATTTCAGTCAGTATTCAACCTGCTTAGTTTCAAAACACATGTTCTAGCTCACTTTTGTAAGCTATTGTTCAAATTTCAATTTGGTTTCTAAATCCCAGGCATTAGAGTCCAATATACCCTGGTCACAGTTGTATGCGACTCAGGTGACAGGACTTTGTCCCACAATCTTCTGACCATGGACTGGGGAGACAGAGGAAAATTATTTCAATGCCACAGAGGATGATGGAATTCAGAGTTCCAGGCACATGTCCATGAAGAAATGGCACTTACACCTTACTACTGGTCAGAGGCAAATGGCAGAGTACCACAGACAAGCTTCCATAGGTAGGGGTGCCTCCTGATAATGGGATGGGGTGGATAACAGGCTTCTGTCCATGTCTCTGCAGGGGCAGTGAGGCTGCCTGAATACCATGGAAGAGGGAGCTAGAAGTCTGAATTTTGCACATTAGCCCCACTGGGGAGATGTATGTCCCAGTTACTGCAGAAGAAGGGGGAAAGTCAGAGGTGTCATAGTCTCTATAGGGAAGGAATGCCATTTCATTCCTGCAGAAGGTGATGGATGTCAGAGTTCTACCCACAACCTCCATGGTGGGAACATACTGCTTCCTTACTCCAGGAAGAGGATGGAAGACAGGGTTCTATCCCCAGTTCCACAGTTGCAGTTGAGGTGGGGATAGAACACTTTTTTTTCATGGTGTTCCTTTCGAAGAAAGGTAAGTATGGTTAAAAGATTTCTGCTATGCTGGGTTACCTTTTTTCCTGGTACTTTCACTAGAGACAGATGACACAAAAGAGAAAGGGTGGGGGCGAGTGATATAGACCACAAAGAAGAATAGAAAGTTGAATAATTCCTGATAATGTTAGATGAGGTTATTGATTAGGATCTACTTTACACATCTACTACACAGTATAATTGACAAAAGATCATTTGTAATGAGAAACTGTTTGCTGCTTGTATAACACAGTGTCTGTGCTTTCACGATTAGCTTCTCTATTTAACACTATGTGGTTCTAACTAATCTTTCAAAGCACATATTAATCTATTTCTCTGTAATATCATCTCATAGACTATAGCATCCTTTGCCAGTTTAAGGATAAGTTAAGGGTTTTTAAAGTTTATTTATGTTCATCTATTTGAGAATGGAGGCAGGAAGACAGAGCTTGGAACATTACCTACAAACGATTAATGTGCTATATTGGTGTGGAACGTGGGTCAAAACGGAGGAAACAGGAAATCATACGGCTTATGTCATCATGACGGCACAGAGTTCTTAAGGAGGTGTTTATACCAAAGACAGGATGGGATGTCATTCAGTTTTTTAATTTAGACTAGAATTAATCATTGGAATGGTTAGAATGTTAATGTTCTCCCCCAAATGTACATGTTGAAACTGAATTCCTAAATGTGATGAAGTTTAGCGAGGTGATTGGGTTATAAGGTAGCAACAATCATGAATGGTATCAGGGTCTTTATATGGGGCTAAAGATAGCAGAGTTCTTTCCTTCTACACTGTCAGGAGACAGCAAGAAGCTGGCTGTCTGCAACCGGGAAGAAGGTCTTAACCAAAGCCCAACCATGCTGGCATTCTAATCTTGAACTTCCAGCCTCCAGAATTGTAACAAATAAATTTCTATTATTTATAAGTCATCTAGCCTATGGCATTTTGTCATAGCAGTCCAAACTGACTAAAACAGCCAGGAAGGCAGAAAATGCAAGTCTTCTACGAAATGATCAGAAAGAATTGAGTGGGTGATGAAAACTGTGAGAGACACTGTTAGCTGTCTCTAAATTTCCGTACCTCCTTCCTGTATCTGTATGTACAGCTAAAATTTGTTATTACTATAATAAGAAATACTATGTGTTATATAACAAATATTATAGTAATAACAAATACTATTTGTTATCATAGTAATAACAAATTTTTCTAAACGCTCTTTACACCCGGACATGGCTAAGTGACTAACACTTGCATTAGAATGTGGGTAATGGGTATGCATATGCATTCCAGAAGACGCCCTTAGATAGGGTGTGCCATTCTTTTTTCCTCTTCCTCTTGTTACTTCTTCATATTGAACCCTGAAGGGGTAGTACAGCATCCTGGGAAGTAGCAGCGTCACCATATAGACAAGTAGAGAAAACTTTTGACTTTGCAGAGTGGGACTGTATTGACTGCTTGAAATTTTACAAAAATGGAGAAAAAATAAATTTCCATCATGTTAATTCCACTTTTATATTTGGGATCGTCTCATGCTTAAACTCACAGCCTAACTAATGCAGAAAAGAAAAGAGCGTGGTGAAGTATAACATTTCTTATAGTTTCAGCCTAGCCTGTCTATACAAGCAGTTGCTAAGTCTATTGAATCATTTCACATCAGGTCACAGGAAAAAAAAAGTGTTTTTTAATTGTGTGACAGTGGGGAGAGGTGGTAAGGGGGGGCATGTCACTTACGAACACTTTGCTTGTTTTACAGGTATTTCAAAAATGTGTCCACTTTTTTGATCCAACAGTGTATTTGAAGGAGTTAAATAATCAATATTTGAAATTCATCATTTCTTCTTTCTTGAGCATTTTATGATGCAACTCTAATCATATGTAAAATGGCTAAATGTGAGTGAACTGATACAAAGGATGACCTTTTCTTTAACTGGATAAGTGGTGATCCTAAGATGATCAATATGTGTCAGCACAGCCATTTCAAGCAAATTATTTATATTGATAAAAAGCTCAGACCTTAACCCAGCTTGAACTCTTCAAGTATTATAGAAATAATAAATGAAGAAATTCATTATTTAATGCATTTCTTAACAAATAAAATAAACTAATTTCTTTAATGGGTCTACTAAGTAAAATCCCACAGGAAACTACATATGACCTTGACATGTGGTATCTGTTTCTGGTAATGAGAATGTAATAAATTAAAATCTGATGGGACTATATTTATGTTTTTATACATTTATGAAATAAACTCTAGCCAAAATCTAAATTTAAAAACCACATTTCTAAAATTAGATTTTTTAGTATTGTTTTAATGATATAATGAAGCTTCAATCACTTTGATTTTTAACTGAGTGTGAAAATTTAACATTATAAATTTATATTGGAATGAATTATTTATACCTGGGGGATCATACACTGAAAAAAGTTTTACTGTAATGTGGAATTATTTATTATTCTCTCCAAAATATGCAATAAGCATATCTGGCATGTTTCAAAGTTACGTTTAAAAAAGAAAATGCGTTAGAATGGCGATCATTAAAAAATCTGGAGACAACAGATGCTGGAGAGGATGTGGAGAAAAAGGAACACTTTTACACTGTTGGTGGGAGTGTAAATTAGTTCAACCATTGTGGAAGACAGTGTGGCGATTCCT